TACATTGGGATCAAACTTGTGGGATCATTATTTGGGATCATAACAAATTTTACATGGGATCAGTACTTTTACATGGGATCTCAAAAATTTACGTTGGGATCTCAATACCCAATGATCCCTGTAGGGATCACCCCCCCGATCCCAGTGTAAATTAGCTATACTACTCCCCCACCCGTAATTTTTATAATTAAAAGTACTGTTCATTTTGTCTGATTGTCATGACAATTGACATGAAGACTAATTAGGCAATGATAAACTTATTTGGTCTTCATAATCAACGTTTTAAAACCACTAGTTTGATCATAAAACTGATGCTTGTGTCAGGGGGAGGAAAAAGAGCCCAAATTGGGAAAAGAAGGAAGACTAACGCATTTAATGCTCTAAACTGTAAAAAAAAACTTCAACCATTTTTCCGCCCCCTCACAATAACATCAATTGGCTCCTAACACTTTCGCGCCACATTTCAAACTTCCCATTTGCTTAGTTATTTTACATGTTATTATGGCTGACTGCGTAATGAGCTCTTTTCCACAACCCCCCCCCCATTTGAATTTCAGTTTGAAAAACTAGTTTTAAGTATTCATAAGGTAAACAAATTTTTCATGATGAACAAACTAAATTGAAAACAAAAATGGAAAAAATGAAAGTTGGGGGAGGTGGAAAAGAAAAGCAAGCGTGATGTTACATTTTAAGGTATCAAAAACAAAAAGTTCGCAACAGTCAAGTTGTTCGCAACAGTCAAACTTCATTACTTTATAGCTACATGAAAATAGTTTTTCAAAACTGAAAATCACAACAGACGCGAAGCTGCCCTCTCGGCCACAAACGCTTAGCAACCGGCAAACACTAGTCACAAAAAAATGCTACTATTGCTGAAAAATCGCTGATGCGATGCAGCATAAGTGGCACCAAAAACAACTAATCCTCCACGCTAACTTTTGCAGGCAAAAATTGAAAAGCAAAAGGCCAAATTTTGTAAAAATTATCCATTTCGAAAAATGGCGAGATATATTGAATTACAAAATATCTGAAATCTAGTTTTAATTATTGTTGTTGTTTGAACAAAGAGCTTATATTGGTTCATTTGATAAATTAAAATTGCAATTGTGCTAACTTATTGTGTTAACTGTGTTTATTTCAAAGCACATGCTATCAAAAAGCCGTAAAGAAGCCATCAAAATGGCATCAATATTTGCGACCTAGCTCAGGAAAAAAAGAAAAGCAGTTTTTATTACACTACGCTTACTAAAACTTGCCAGTATAAACAAGGGGAAAAGCGAAAAATGAATTGTATTGCGTTTTAAATGGTTTTACGAGGTTAAGTATGACAAAGACATATGCATCCTGGGCTAATTAGTCAGTTTGCCTATTTATGTAACAATTTGACACTGTAAACAAAAAAAATTACTACAAACAATTTGCAAGTGGGGCAGGGGTTTAACAAGAAAAAGAGACCAAAAAGATCTGACAAAAATGTTTTTCTCCTAGTTTTTTCTTTCAACTTTAAATTGTTTCAAGTGAAAAGTTATTCAAGAGGGTTACCCAAAAGGTATCTTTTTCCTTCCCTCCCCTCTCCTCACCTGTAAAATTTTACAAATAAAAATTCTGTCCAGATTGTCTGATTGTTATGAAAATTTACATTCGGTCTAATTAGGCCATGAAAACTAACCTCGCATAACTACTCATTTAACTATAAGACTGATGCTTGTGTGAGGTGGAGGGTAAGGGAAAAATAGCCCCAAAAAGTCTGGTAATCAAAAGGATATTGATACATAGAGGGTTTTTGCAGTAAATGTTTGTTGTTGATTGGTAAATTATGTCCGAATGCGTACTCAGCATTTTTTGGCTTTTTGTTATCTTTTTGCGTCTGGTAAGAAAATCTGGTAACTAAAAGAATATTGATGAATAGAGGTTTTTTCTTAATAAATGCTTGAGATGTTTTGGTCTGAATTTCTAAGGGAGTACTTTTGGATAATGTACAAAGTATTTATAGCCACGCTATCTTTTTTTGGCAGGATAGGTTGGTGCAATTCCTGAGCCTAGTATTGATCGTAAACCTATTTTTATGTTTAGGTTTTAATAGATCTATAGGAATAATAGAAATTTAGGGCTTGTTGGAGATCAGCTTCATTTTTTGTTTTCGATTATTGATCTGACTAAGAACACTGGTCAGTTTTACAATAATTAAACTAAAAGAGTTTGTAGGTGAATGTGTATTAAAAATGGAGTAAGTAGTAATGAAAACTTTTGAAGAAAAAGCAGCTAGACGCAAAAACCATAACAAAATGCTAAAAGTACGCATTGTCTAACAAATAAAGTTTTTATTGTTTTTAACTCTTGTAGTCTAATGCGCCATGAAAATAAACTTTGTAAACACACTGGTTACATTAAAAAACGGATGCTCTCGTGATAATCAAAAACGGTAAAAACATTGAAAACATTGCAAGAAAAATTGCACAAAAATCTATTCAAAAGGTTATTTTTAATTTTTTTTTCGAAGGGTATAAAATCAATCACTGCCAACAATTCCGCGAAACAAGGTTTGCAAAAAAAAGGTTTTTTAAAGAAAGAATGAAAAACAAATTTTGATTGTAAAAGTGAATATATTTTCCAATATTTAACAAAATCTAAACTACAGACATCTGAATTTCCGGGCGCTTAGAAAATTGAACCACCATCCAAAAGTAAAACGAAAAAAGCTTTCTTTTAAACTGCAAATAGTGCTTCAAAACTGGCGTTTTTTATTCGATTTGACTGAAAAAAAACAGACTAGAACTACCACACAATGCTTGCCTATGCAAACAACTAATTAAAGAAACTGGCTGTTTAAAAATTTCTGATTACTTTTAAAGCAGTCACTCCAAAATCTGATGAAAATCACACAAAAAAATTACACGGAATAAGCCTTGATATAAATAGAAGTTTTTATTCCCACAGCTCTTTCAAATCTCTACAACAATTAATGCCTGGAGCTTTTATATATAGTTGACGAAAAAAAAACAAATCAATGATGAGAAACTTGACTTTGTAAGGTAAATTTCTTGCTTAATATAATTAAACAAAAATCCGACGAAATAACTCAACAAATCAAACACATGGACAATGGAATTCAGTTAAGTAAGGTGGTTTCATTCATTCTATCGCAAGCTTGTCGTGTCTGCAAGGGTCGGAAAATGTCGATACATGGCATCAAAATGTTCAATATCACAGATATTGACACAGAGGCGAAGCTGTGTTTCGCATACACTTCGAGAACTTGGCGAAAAAGCAGCTCTATAAAATTAAACAAAAAAAGTAGAAATAACCCTAGAATTAGTTTTAAAAAATTCCAGATTGAGAATCTCACGCACTAACCTCTCGACCACAGACACTTAGCAATCAGCAAACAGTAGCCACGAATAAAACAAACAACAGATGCCATGAACTTTCTAAGGCTATAGATTGTGTTTATAGCAAAAATGCCACCAAATGAGCACTTTTATTTGCGAGTTAGGTTGGAAAACAAGAAGGTTCTAACTAATTCATTAAACTCACAATTTCTAAAAATGATGAGATACCAAGAATACTTAACAACGCCAACAAAAAGGAAACCAAAGAAGAACAACTTTTAAGAACTTGAACAATAAAATTTTGAAAAGAGTAATGAACGCAAGTAAATAGGAAAAAAACACTCTTTGTTGAAAAAATCTCAATTTTCCACTTTCAAAATAATAGATGGCCTTTCAGCTCTTTCAAATTTCTAGAACAATTAATGCCTGGTGCTTTTTTGATATCATTAACCCAACTTGAGAAAACTGGATTGACAGGTAAGGTTTTTATTCCGGATAAAATCTAAGAATTGAATTCCACTTTCGAAACTACAAAATCGTTCACGTGTTTTTACGCCATTTCCACGTTCTTAGTTGGAAAGTAAATACTTAGTTGGTATTTACGTCACTTTCAGCAGATGAGTTTCAGTTGAATTCAACAATTGCAGATATACCTAAGTGCATTCATAGTGCCATCAATATGTATGAATGGACATCTGTAGTTATTAAAAAAATTTATGCACATTTTAAGACTTTTTCCTGAAAAAAATCATCAAGAATTATATAAGAGAATTCACTACGTTCAGTACTTTCAAACTCCATTAAATTCCAAAAATTATTGTTGATTGGCAATGTTTTATTTGAGCAATCCCATTTAGAGAAAAGAGGATTATCAGTTTTTTTTTATTTCGCTGGAGACCTACGTTCAAAATTAGAATGTACATTTTTAGGTCCTTGGCGCCCTTGTTGTAGTTTTGGTCCTTCGAACTTTTGGCAAAGGGAATTATAAAAATCACATGTCAAATCGCGAACAAATTCATCCGAAAAAAAACCATCGCGACCGATATTAATGACATATCAGAAATTATTTTGCTCATCTGGTTATTTATATGGTAAAATGGAGCACACAACTTATAAAACGTTTTACAAACGCAAGTCTACGAAAATTTACATTTGGAAAACTTTGAAATTCATGTTTAACAGCACAAGTAGTGGTCGGAAACTCCATATTACTATGATTGATTTTTTGAGATTTTAATTCAACTTTCAATTAGGAAGTTTTACGGATTTCAAAACATTCGATACTATTTATAGCCAAATTAACTAAAAAAAAAGTAAAAAATCAATAAATTAAATTATAAAATAAGTGCAATAAATTAAATTCTTGGTTATAAAATTAAAATTATTAGTTAATGTCAACTTTTTGAAGGATAATTTTGCTAAAATATCGATGTTGAGACCATTTTCGTTAGCTAGTTTACGAAAATAATTTAAACTGAAAAAAAACAATCGCTAGCAGCCTTTGGCGTCAACTGATCCAAACAAACATATTATCAATAATGTCTACCCTTAAAACATGTCTCTACGTTTTCGGCGCGAAGCGGCAAGTATTTTTACTGACTGATAACACTATTCTTTCAAAATAAGCGAATAATGCAATTTATCGCTCGACAAAAAATTTATATAGGCATAACGAAAATGATATCAAACAAATCCAAGATTCTGATTAAATCGTTAAAGATTTGACATTAACTGAATAAACTCAAAGGCCAATAGTTATCATAAAAATCAACTGAAGAACCAGTTTTCGAACTGCCTTAATTTAAACTAAATAATCAGCCATTTCAGGACGTAATAATTTTTCACTATAAATTAATTTATGGATGAAAATAAGTTAAAATCTTCATGAATTAAATTGAGTTTTTGTTGGCTTGTGAGCTACACGAGTTTCCTAGTTTGCTTGTGATGATGAGTTTCAACTTGGATATATCTGGTGGTTCTGTTCTGCAACACAGCCCAAACCATCTCACACCGAGAGCATGCCACTGGACACACTGCGACTCAATGCAGTCGAAGAAGTCCTTCCTCAGCTGTTCAAACTCCTCGGCCGCGAACCCGCCAAATCTATTGAAAAATCAAAATTTTATTTACTTTTTTTGAATTTTTGATGGTATATGTTGAAATTTGTCTACATTTCTTCTGCTTACATTGAAAAAAAAATCCTTCAATTCACTTTGACAGAAATTCAACATCTTTTTTTACAAAAATTATACGTAGCCGCTATGCAGGAAATTTTCTAGCACATGCTCTTTCGATTAAACCTTTAATCTCAAATCTTTCAAAAAGTACCTCAGATTTGTAAGGGTAGTTTTCAAAAGGAAAAAATTTCAAAAAAAACGGTCAAAATTTGGACATTTTCTAAGGCCATAACTCTTTTTCTAAACAAATTAGGGCGCAACAGATTATCCATAGGGATTCCTTAAACACTTGTTTTTTATTCAAAATGACACACGAAAATGATAGAAAAAAGGGTCAAATATTCCGGCAATGAAATTTTGATTGCAAGAAGGTCATAGAATGTCGGGTGTAGTAAAAGTAGACTAGCGGAACATGCAGACAGCCGGTATTTCCATTAACACCAACTTTTGAAAATCGGTTAAATTATTTATCGAGAAAAACTCAAGTTTTGAGAAAGGTCAAAAATTTTTCGAAACATCTCTTAACAATAAAAACAAAAACCAAACCCCATATACCCAAACCAGATCCAAATATATAATGCTTTGCAGTAGAAGTAACCCAGATGTAAAAATGCCAACAAATACTCATTTGCGACTTAGGTTGGAAAAAAGTGTATACCGTAATATGACATTACGCTCCGCGCATGTAACAAGAGCAGCAATTTTAATTAATGAGATTTTCTTTATTCAAAATATGACTCAGCGATATAGCGTTTTAAAGTAGGAACTGAAATAGTGCTAAAATTGTGTACATGAAATCAGAGAGGGATCGATGTTTTCCACCCTGAAACAAAAGCATATGTATCATCCTCTCATAAAACTTAATGACCCGCCTCAACATAAAAAGACAAAATTGAGCAACACAAAATATGTTTAAAAGAAAAAACATTTTGAGATCAATTTCAGCTGTTTTAGTGATACACCACTTTATAACGAAATAAAGACAGCCGGTTGCTTTGCAACTAGCACAGAATATTCCGACTGCACTGATTTAAGAAAACAAAACAAAGAATGAAAAAATATGAAATCCAAAATTCCAAGAACTTTTCTCTAGAACGGGAACGGTTGACTTAGGTTAAAAATTCAGTGATTGTATTTCACTAACAAAACCTTAAACCGAACAAAATTTAAGGTGAGCCTCTGATATTTCGCTAAAAATTTTTAAGTTGTTAAGTTTTTTCGAGAGGAATGATATAGAACCGAAACATTCAGGTCTTGATTAAATTAGCAGCTATTTCCTTGCACCCATGTCCAACCTAATTAATCAAGCTATCGTTTCTTTCCAAGTCTCTAAAATGCAGAATTTTTCCTGATGCGCCAGTAAGAATTTTAATTGAACAATAATTATTATCACCATAGCTATCTTCCAAATAGCTGCAGTAAAAATTTTGCCAAAAACATATACATACGCCAAATATTTTGATGAAAATTGTTTGCTAACTTCAAAATTCGCCACTATTGATGCACAGATATAATTAACAGACCAAATGCGGCCTAATTTTAAGGAAAATTTACACTGCAGTAATTTTGTTGGTATAGAAAATTCCTAAGATAAATCAAATATTACAGAGCAGCAAAGCTTCGCTTCGCAAAGACTAGCGAGAACACGACAAAAAGCAGCTCTAGAAAGTGCAATAAGAAAAAAAATAGAAATAAGCCTCGAATTAGCGAAAATTTACAAAAAGCAGCTACATATGCTAATAAATTTCCAATGCCATTTAGCAAAAGTAGCACCAAATACAAATAGACACAATTTTACAAGTAAAAATTTGGAATATAACAAACTGAAGGCATCCACTCTAACTGCATGCAACAATTCCCAAAGGTTAGAGCCACATTATGAATAAATAATGCATTTCAAAAAACTGCGAGATATATTGAGGTAGAAAATTTCTGAAATCGAGTTTTGAGTATTGTTGTCGTTTAAAACAATAAGTTTTTTCGGTTCATTTGATGAAATAAACATGCATGAACAGTTGTAATTTATTACTAAAGGAATTTAAAAGCACATGTTATCAAAACCTTGCAAAGGTTCCCCAAAGTTGGTACCAATATTTGCGACTTAGATTAGAAAAAAAGAACGTTCTTAATAATAAGCTAAGCTGACGCTAGTGAAATAAGTATAAACTGGACATCAAATTCAAGAAAATCCAGCGCGCTTTTCTGGAAACTAAGATAGAAAAAAATGAACTGGCTCTCTTTGTTAATTAGAGATGAAACATTACTTCAAGTTAGGCATTATGAGGACAGGAAGAGCCAGCTGTGATATTGCATCTCTCGCACTCTCCAACAGCCCAGTGGTGTGCTGCACAGCACTACAGTTGATACCTGAACAGAACAAACACCCATCAGAAAACAAAGCTTTAAAACGACAATCGGCTATTTTTCGTAACACAAACATCGCAAAATTAATGGTTACACCCCACAATTGCTGTTCATATCTGGCGCGTGGAAGTTCAGGATGTTTATGTCACCTAGTATCTGGCTGTTTGGTTAAACTTGAAGTGTCTTAAGCTGATCAGATTAGGCCGCTGAATGCTCAACAATAAAAATAAACGTAATATTCCGATTAGACACAAGAATGACTCACCTATAGCGACCAAATTATTGTTTGCTTTGAATGTAAGTAGTTGCTGGATGGCAAGTTGGAATGATTGCCCACTGCCTAGGGTGGAGGGGGAGCTGCACTGGAAGGAGAGGTAGAACTTCTGGGAGGGGAAACAGTCTCGCATCATACACATGATGGCATTCATCTCTTTAATCACTGGGATAGTTTCGAATCCAATCACATCTCAAACACAACACAACTTAGAAACCACCACAACTTTTATTTGAACTTATTTTGAATTGAAAAACAGTTTACCTGTTTTTCTTTTTGACTTTTTTGCAAATTGACGTCACTAAGATGAGCAATTTTTTCAACACTATTTCGAGCAATAAAAGAAGACTATCCGATAAGTCTCTAAAAAGCAGTAACTGCCATTCAAAAATCATTTAGGGAAAAAGCGTGAATCATTTTTGTTCCGGCCACTTCAATGAGGAACAAAAGGCCAGATCATTCTTTCTTTACGCATTTTCCAATACTTCAGCAGATAACGCTCATAGGAGCTGAGTAGAAAAGCATACTATTCCCTTCTTAGAGTTGTGACACTGAAGTCGTGTGGAAAATAAGTTGTCCGAATACTTGCTTGAGAGTAACTTTCAACCATGGCCTGAATAATTTACAAAATCACCTACTAAATTATCCCAATTCGATTGAAGACATGTTCCTGTCATATTTAGGCTACTTTAATCTAAATCAGATCCCAAAAACTGCAAGTAAAATTATTCAAAAAATCACCATTATAACTTACACAGCACCTGATTATCATTTAAAAAAAAACAAATTGCATGTTTTTTGTAAATTTCTCAACAATATAGAAAGCTTCGGTAGCCTCATGTCGGAACCTGCTCAAAACTAATAACTAAATTTCGATCTTTCTACTTCGTAATTATTTTAAATCTTCGGCGGTTAAAAAGCGGACGCTACCCCTTGAATAAAAATTAGAGGCGAAGCGGGGCTTCAGAACACTTGCGATACAGCGCAAAAATATCATCACAAGGCATCCGACAGAAAATCAGAAAGCCTCAAAATAAACGACTCCTACTCATCGCAAACAACTAAACAGCAGAATACGTCAGGGCACTTCGCATTTTTCTATATAAATTTGACACCACGAAAACGTTGACAACAAATACAAATTTTGTTTATCAGCTGTATGCTGACGATTCGTTGCTCTATGTTGCCGAAACAAATCAGACAGAAAACCTGAGAACAGAACGACCATATAAAATTAGTGAACTGGTTCAAAATTTTGGGTCTCAAAATCAATCTAAAAACAAACCGAACCCATGGCACAAGGCAGTTGTCGGAAGTTGCCGGCAAACCTACTAAATCTCATAATTGAAGAAACCTATTCATATATCCAGCAATTCTATATTTATTGGGAGTGACGCAGGACACAAACCTCCTCATAAACTTTCAGATGAACATGTCTGCAAAATGATGTTACAATCAATAAAGAAAGTTGATAGTATGAGGTTTTCTTTTGAATTTCGAGAATAGATATATGCCTTCTAGAAATTTCATTTTGAAAAGAAATGATTATTGCATTAGAATATAAGCAAATTTGCACGCTTGTTTTATCAAAAAACCACATGTCCAAAACATTGCCAGTCATTTTCTTTTCTAAATTGCGAGACACAATAAGAGTTTAATTTTCCTTCATGATTTGTACTGGCGTTCAGTCGGCGAGAGAACACATTTTAAATTGAATACGAATGTGTGCAGAAATTAATTACCCGCCAGATAAAGTGCCACCTTACCTGGTTTCTAAAATCAAGCAAACAAAAACAATTCCAGAACGATTGACTTAAACCAGCTTAAATTGATGGCAAACTATACTATTGCAGAAAATAGTACGGAAAGTCATTTTCATTTAGCCGTTCCAAATTTTGGAATAAATTGCTGAATAGTTTGAAAAATGAAGCCTCAGAAACAAAACTTGAAAGTAGTCTTAGAAACAATTTGTTCAAACTACTTTTATAGAGTTTAAAAACCTGTCCTTTTGATTTACAAGAAAATCTCTGCTGAAATGATAGTAGTATCAAGTGATAATTAGAAAAGGTAGCAAATATTCGACTAATTTGCACTTAAGCGTCAAAAGACTTTCAAACGGAATTCGGATGATGACTCGATCAATAAATCTTGCGTATTCGTTTCCTCACTAGCGAATGGTATATTCTTACCAAATACTGTCTTGGTGGTACGATCGCCACATTGTCTTCTGATAAAGTCTGATAAGGTCTTACTGAAGCCAACAACATCCTATTCGGTAAAACAAGGAGGTTTAGGCACAGAGAGGACATTTCATCTGATGTTTTGCATACCCGACCAGAGTGCATTGAACAGCTGGCCAGAGATTTCAAGAGCACTTTGAATATATTCTGGCACAGACAGAAAAGAGCGTTTTTCAACATAAGTTTTCTGACTAAGCCATGTGAATGGCCGCTTGAGGTTTTCAGAGACATATTATACTTTTAAGTCATATCAGTTTACTTATCTTATTTCTGTTGTACTTATGTGAAAGCTGCATTGAGCAACGAAGGCCGCTTAAGGTTTCGAATAGAAAAAAATGATGTAATTTAAAAACAGTGGTCCATCCGAAGACAAATGAAGGAATTTGATGGCAATAAAATAAAAAGTAGATCGACTGGAAAATCTTAAATACAAATTATAGCCGCTTAAGTCATCGGATTTGCGAATTTGAGTAGTATACATAAATCCACTGAAAGCCTCTTTACTACACCTTTTTCAAAACCTGTCCTTTTGATTTACAAGAAAATCTCTGCTAAAATGATAGTAGTATCAAGTGATAATTAGAGTTTAAAAACCTGTCCTTTTGATTTACAAGAAAATCTCTGCTAAAATGATAGTAGTATCAAGTGATAATTAGAAAAGGTAGCAAATATTCGACTAATTTGCACTTAAGCGTCGAAAGACTTTCAAACGGAATTCGGATGATGACTCGATCAATAAATCTTGCGTATTTGTTTCCTCACTAGCGAATGGTATATTCTTACCAAATACTGTCTTGATGGTACGATCGCCACATTGTGCTCTGATAAAGTCTGATAAGGTCTTACTGAAGCCAACAACATCCTATTCGGTAAAACAAGGAGGTTTAGGCACAGAGAGGACATTTCATCTGATGTTTGCATACCCGACCAGAGTGCAGCTGGCCAGAGATTTCAGGAGCACTTTGAATATATTCTGGCACAGACAGAAAAGAGCGTTTTTCAACATAAGTTTTCTGACTAAGCCATGTGAATGGCCGCTTGAGGTTTTCCGAGACATATTATACTTTTAAGTCATATCAGTTTACTTATCTTATTTCTGTTGTACTTATGTGAAAGCTGCATTGAGCAACGAAGGCCGCTTAAGGTTTCGAATAGAAAAAAAAATGATGTAATTTAAAAACAGTGGTCCATCCGAAGACAAATGAAGGTATTTGATGGCAATAAAATAAAAAGTAGATCGACTGGAAAATCTTAAATACAAATTATAGCCGCTTAAGTCATCGGATTTGCGAATTTGAGTAGTATACATAAATCCACTGAAGGTCTCTATACTACACCTTTTTCAAACCAGGATACGATTTGAAAAACCTTCCAGAACAGAATTGAATAAATCTGTCACCAGTAAACAACCAAAACTGATGTAAAGCAATTTTGATGACTAATCGCAAGCGTAATGATGATGATAATGGTGATTAAAATACTTGGATAGACGTTTGATCATTAAAAAATTTCGTCATACGAAGTGTTGGGCTATGTAACATAAACCGACTAAACCTTTCAAGCAAAAAGTCCATTTTTCGATTTGACAAAAGTCACGAAGCAAAAAAGTCCATGTAAGTCCATGCACTTTTTTTTTCAATTTGATATTGTCACAACTTACCTGGTTTAGTTAGTTGGAAAGCAGAGACGAGCTCCTTGTGCCAACTCGCCATCTGCTCCTCCGAAAAGTTTGCAGCAAAGGATCCGTTATACTCAGACATGTTGCAGAGATGGGCTCCGAAAGAGCCAATACTGGCCGCCACTTTGAACCTCTTTTTATCGCCCTGTTCACCATTGCCTAAAAAGTGGATCAAGTTCCCCTAAAGTAATTTGAGCAAGATATCACTTGGTTACTGGTCATAAAGCTTTCACGGCTTTAATTTGGTACCACATTATGTAACAAACGAATAAACCTTTCAAGTAAAAAGTCAACTTCTTGATTTGATAACATTCCCGAAGCAAAAAAAGTCCATGAGACCTTTCCAATTTGGTACCAATTCATCTGACCCTACAAAACTTCTCTGCCATAATTTTGTCCCATCCTCGAACAAAAACACCCAAAAGGGGGTGTTCGAAACAACAACACTCGAAACAGTCAAAAATACCTCGCCCATATTATAATAAAGTTCCTTACTGTTTAAGCATGTTCGAGCTAAGTTAACAGAATTGGCCAGTTTCTGCTGTGCTTCTTCTCTGGTGATGTTGAACTCTGAGCAGTACAGATCCAGTGAAGTCTGGTATGTACAGGTGGTAATGAATGTCGACCCAGCTGACACATATTCCCTGTAGGCCGAGTTGACAAATTAGACTTAATATAACTAACTGTACGCTAGTCATACTTTTAAATAATTAAACTTCAAACAGTTCATCAATCAAAATTGCAGCTTCTAAAAACCTAAATAAGTATCCGCAATACATTTTAACTCATGGTAAATTGGTAAATTAAACGGTAGCTTAGTTAGTTGGTTTTTTCGGCCTAGGAGTTTTATCAACTGTATTTGACGGTGACAACAAGAGAGGCAATTGCACTTTATGGCAAAAATCAGCAAATATATTGATTAATTTATGCAAAAATGTCACTTGAGTTGGACTTGATCTAGTTAATTTTGAAGCGTGTCAACTGTGCCTGTGCATCTGTTGCACTATGTCTGGTCTGGTCACTATGAGTCCACTGCCCCAAAGAGGATCCTCTCTCTCTTTCTCCTCCTCAGTGAGGAGAGATCGGGTGTACATTCCCACACTCCCATCGAACAACTCTATCTCGTCCATCTTCTTCGTCCAGGTTCAATAAATGTGATAGTTGGGTAACTGACTTTTTTCTGGTTAAAATGATAAGAGAAGGCCTGGGAACCACAGATATATGCATTTCAGGGTCTGAAATGCACATATCGGGTCCAAAAGGAAAAAAAAGACTGAAAAATGGGTCCCCTGGATCCTTAGGAAAATATTGAAATGAAAAGCTCAAATACGCAAGTAAGCTAATTTCAAAAGTGTTTCCAAAGATCTTAAGAACCAAAATGTTTCAATCCCTTCCAATTAATATTTTAGGCAGTCAACTATCATACTTGAACCCTCGTCCACGCGCACTCTACACTTCTTCAGAATAAAAGACAAATATCAAAAAATCAAACCATAATAGTCGTACTTGGTGTACAATTCATCTGAAAAAAGCAGTTTACAATTGAGGCCATTTATACATGAGAAAGATTATTAGACGTTCTAAACAATCGGCTCAATACAGCAAATCTCTGTTGACATCCCTTTTAGACTATTTTATTTTTCAAAAGAAAATGTCAAAGGGGCCTACGGTTTTACAATTTTACTCAAGATCTTGGCTAGTAAAAATGAACTTTTTGTGATCCTCTAGTAAGCGCGGGAACTTTCTCGCTCTTTCTTGTTCCCACCTGGTAAATTATCTCTAAGATTCGATGTGAAAAAAAAGATATATTAGGAAAACCATAGTGCAAATCTGAGTTCACTTGAAAATTAGCACCCTGAACAGTTGTTTCGCGGGCAGATTTTGCAGCTATATGAAACCTTTTTCCTGGTTTGGAAAAAATTGCTTTAGCCATGGAGTCAAAACAAACCACGACTCCGATCCATTAATGACCGATTATCCATTCTTATTAGCTGTAGTTGCCTACGTTTTGACTGAGCCAGATAGAAACATATTATTCTGACATATCGGAAACTCATTCAGGTTCCATAACACAATTTATATCGAAATATAAGTTATATAGAACCCAGATCCATCTCTTTTCTGGTTCTTTTCCTTCGTCTTCTGTATCGCTGACAGTGTCTCGTAAGTATTGCAACACTCCGAAATAGCCTCGTACTTGTTCAAATCGTCCGTCACCTGTCTGCAAATGAGGTCGAAATCCTGTCTGAATTGTGATTCATTCGGCAGGGCCAGCAGTTCTATAATGACGTCTCTTTGAGCCACAAGAAGCATGTCACAGACACTCAAAACGAACGCTCTCAGTTGATTATTCTCACTGTAGTAACCTGTGGCAATTGAGTACAATAGTAGGCCCCTTTGTTAAATTAGAAAAAATCCTAGGCACTTATGGTCTAGAAAACTGTAGCCTAAATCTGTTTTTAAAACAGCCGCAGCTTTTCCGAAAAGTCAAAAATGAACAAATAGACTAGATAATTTCTTTCTATTCAGAAACGTCTTTTAACAAATGGAACTTATATTCTTAAATGTTTTAACTTTTCCGTTTGCCTTCGGTGCTAGAAAAATAAAGAAAATATTGGCACCATTTTGAAATAAAGAAAATATTGGCACCATTTTGAAATAAAGAAAATATTGGCACCAGTTAAGAACCGAAACATTTGCGAACTTTCCGTGTCTTTGTCAATAATTTTTATCAGAATCTTCGGCTCGTTTTATTAGGGACCTAGTATTGTATCCTAAGGCCTAACCCGCAACACACAATCGGAACACAAGTCGAACTTGGTCGACATCGAAGCTTCTCAAAATCACAATTAGTATCTTTTGCTCGTATGCATTCCACACACTTTCTTCATACTTTTTCGCTCCTTGCAGAATTTCACACAAGTCGGAGAAGTAGCGGTGATCTTCATTCTTATCAATTAATTCATCAGTAGGAGATTTTGATGTTGTTTGGAGCGTCGAGGGGATGATGTCAAATACAGTTGTGCCTGATTGCAGCGATGAAAATTTAAACTATTCTTAAATTTTTCCTTTTCAAATTTTCTTAAATTATTTTCTGTCAAATGGGTTTACAATTACTTGAAAACACTCACATATGCAGTATACGAATTCAAATAGCTGGCATGTGGAAAAATGGAGTACACTTTTTGCTTAGAATCTTACCGAATGATGGTCCCCACAGAGCCGAAGCGGAGCTTAGCAAAACTTGTGATAAATAACAAACATATTGGCCGAAAACCAGAAAAGCCGAAAAATCATCGCCACACAATTTTATCAATCGAATTAGATATTATATTGATTATATTGATTTTTTAGTCTGAACGGCAACTAAGCCGGCAGTACTGAGACGAAGACCAATAAGCCGAAAAAATGAAAACCTTAAAAAACAGCGAAAAAAGGATCGATCGACCGGGACTCAAACCCTGGACCCTCAATAAGGCAGTATACCACTGCACTAACTAGGCAACTGCTCAGCAGTAATTTCTCCTTTTCAAATTTTCTTAAATTATTTTCTGTCAAATGGGTTTACAATTACTTGAAAACACTCACATATGCAGTATACGAATTCAAATAGCTGGCATGTGGAAAAATGGAGTACACTTTTTGCTTAGAATCTTACCGAATGATGGTCCCCACAGAGCCGAAGCGGAGCTTAGCAAAACTTGCGATAAATAACAAACATATTGGCCGAAAACCAGAAAAGCCGAAAAATCATCGCCACACAATTTTATCAATCGAATTAGATATTATATTGATTTTTTAGTCTGAACGGCAACTAAGCCGGCAGTACTGAGACGAAGACCAATAAGCCGAAAAAATGAAAACCTTAAAAAACAGCGAAAAAAGGATCGATCGACCGGGACTCAAACCCTGGACCCTCAATAAGGCAGTATACCACTGCACTAACTAGGCAACTGCTCAGCAGTAATTTCTGTTTCATAAGCAAAAAGCTCAACTTCTCACAGATTTTATAAGATTATTTGTTAAATCGAAAAAGTCTCCCTCCCGATTAGCAATTGATGTTTTCCATACTAACTAGAACCTTCAAGTTTACAATATTGTCAACTCATCGAGAATATTTAAGATTTAAATGATCATCACTGGCTGCTGGTGCGAATTGAGAAGTGGAGTAGATTTTGATCTTGTCCTCCTTCTGAACAGAAACTATCACACAATCACTACACGACATGCACTTGAGATCCTTGCAGTCAATTGTACACATCACGTGGTTTATTGGTTCACACCACACAAATAATTGACCACCTAAAGGGGCAATTGGTATAATTCGGGTCAAAATTCTGTTCAACTTCCTGTCTTTTCGTAGGTAGCGAGAACAACTTCAATTTGTAAGACTTGAGCAAAAATCAGAAAAAAAGTATTCATTTCATTTCAATATGTAACAATCGTTAAGGTCAATTTTTGAGTTCTTAGTATTTTTACAAACAGTTTTAAAAAAAATACAGCTAATGTTTTCTATACTCTTTACAAACATACTAATGCTTTTAAACAAAACAACATTGTTCAGCTATTATTAGCGAATTTGTAATCTTTTTTCGACCCGAATTGCATAAATTCACCATCTGAAGACTGATAGCCAATGAATTTGTCCTTGCTTAATACACCCTTCACGTTGAAAGGAAAACACAATTCAGCATCTTCAAGCCCCGTCATTACGTCAAACATTTTTGATTGGCCACTTTTTAAACCAATCACAAGTCTCAAATGCGCCTGCGATTCGTTCTCGTCGAAAAATTCAGGCATGCAAAGATCAATTATGTGTTCGTTTTTCAAAATATTCGAAACCACTACTTGAGATTTGTCAATTTTGGATGACGAAGTTATTTTCACAATTGAAAAGTTTGCCTCAGTCGCTTTATTGGAAGAGACAACTAAATAAGCACAAATAAACTGATCTCCTTTGTAACATTGGCAAATGGCCGCCGAACTCAATTCAGCTTTGATACCGTTAGTTGTACTGAATTTCACATCCGGATTAGAAAGCACAAAACAGGTTCCGTTTTTTGCAACTACGAGAACTTCATCATTGATTGAGAATATTGATAATATCTTTTCTGATCCGCACTTGAAAACTCCAGAAATCGAATCATTTACAGGTACATTTTCGTCGTCAATTTTTAGAGATACAATCTCACTCGAATTCAAAATAGCCAAAATTTGATTCTGTTGAGGGTTAAAGCAAAACGCGGAACTTATACTCTGGTGTTTTTGTAGCTTCAAAGTTGTCAGTTTTTGAACGGCCGTTTCATTGCCCCGTCTCGGTATGATTTTATAGAAGAAGCAATTATTTTTGAAAGCGAACGCGATCAAATTGATAGGACGCAGAATTGTTAGGAAAGGAACACAAGCGTCATTCGCATTTCCCAGAATAACTCTTTCTTCAAATAGTGGTAACATCTGCAAATCTAAAAATATAGCGCCACATTAAGCCACCTTTTGATTTTGCTAAGCGAGTTTCAAGATCTCCAAGAAATCATCAAATAGCTGGAATTTTACAAAAAAAACTATTTGTATTGCAGAACTGCTATCACCTGTAGCACATTTAGAGCTCGCCAGTACCTGGCAAGTCATTCGTTTACAGTAGTTATGTGATTTTTATCTGAAGGCGCCATTTTGGTACCCTTTTGCCCTACCAACACAACAGGATTAGAGTGCTCAATGAAAATTCAGCGAAAAACTACGAGCTGTAAATGAGTTGTTAAATTTTAACAGTTTATATTTGAATATGTATTAGATTATTTAATTAACTTTGTGCTTATTCAGTGCTTCCAATACTCATGAACAATCTAACAAGACTGCTCGTATATCATGGCAAAGCCCTGAATGCTCTGACTGCACTTTAAGGTCGATTCAAAAGTTGTTTTTGAAAAATTGACAATCGAAAAAAAGTAAACACGCTAATGGTAGCAGTGAAGGGTGTAATTAGCGTCTTCTGTCAAAATTATGCGACCAAATGACTTGCCTCAATTCAATTTGGATCTTATTAACCAGCCTCTTACACGGGTTATAAGAACGCAATATAACGCGCGTTAATTGTCCCAAATTGAGCATAACTTTACAAAAAATGATCACAGGTGAAGCATCTTTAAAAAGTTGGTTAATTAAGAAGTCGAAATTGACTGAACAAAAAACCACACCAAGCATAAATATTCCGTTTCCTTCCAAAGTCAGAACAATTATTGTTCCGACCATTGAAAATGGAGAGGAAATAACAATCGTAATGGGTCGAGTGATATTTCATATTAGAGTCATTTCAGTCGTGATTAGAAAATTTCAAAAAAATTATACCGGTGTCGAGAAAAACTGATTAGAAATTTATGAGGGTTAGTCTAATTTCGAGCGAGTAACGCGTCTAATACCGAATAACGCTCGTTATATGGAAAAAAAACTATTTTAAAAGACTTTGAGGCTAAAACAAACGATTTCAAAAGACTTTGAGGCTTGATTTTAATTTCAAGAAAACTAGTTTTCGACGTTTAATTTAGTGCTTTATTGGCAAAAACGGTTTTCTAAAAAAAATGATATATTGTAAGAAAAATTTCTTTACATTTTTTTATAATTTCAAATTGTAAATCATTTTTGAACACAAATATTGCCGATTAAAACTAATTCACTAACTTTCTACGCGATCGTACAGTTTTCTCATCTCATCACGCACTAGAAGCGTCACTATTTTTAAGGAAAAGAAAACTTTTCTTGGAGTGTTTCATGTATATGGTCGGAACGTTCTGTCCTACTTGCAATACAACCGGCTATCCGTGTTTACCTATAAATCCGCTCGAACGTGTTAAGATCCTTGATTCTGCGTTGATCCTAAATTATCTTTTTAAGTTGATAAAGATTTTGTTAAGAATTAACTAAAAAAAGAAGAAGGGATCATTTCGAGGATGCGTCACTAAATTCTAAATTTAATATTAAAGGCATGCTGTAGGTCAAATATTAAACCAAATTTGCACACAGAGACGAAGCAGAGCTTCGCATTACTTGCGATAGAAAAATGAATGACTCTCAATACTTGCAAATAAACAGGCAAGTCGAAAAAAAACTTTCTTCTCAAAAAAAAAAAAAAATTCAAAAAATCCGGAAATTTGGACGTGAATTACCTGCACATTTTTAAAAAAATTCATAGAGGAACAAAAAAGCATGAAAACTGAAAAACAAATGATCTAATAAAAATGTTTTTACATTTGTCTTGATTTTGTATTGAATAAAAATTCTTTTCGAGCAGATGCCAAAAAGTAGGACAATTTAATGTAAAATAAGCATAAATAAAATTAGTAACAAAGCCGACAATTCGGGAACAGACATACGTTGAGCCAAAAAAATGTTTTTATGGGAAAAACTTCAAAATTCAAAAAAAATCAAGTCTCCTTAAAACACTACAAATTCTCATGAACACTAGAAATCCTCTAAGTCAAAAAATATAGTATGGCCGAGAACTTTGCAGCCGAATAAAGCAAATAAAAACGAAATAAAACTGATATACTGAACTCAGATTTAAAAATTTCTTCTTCTGATATTAATTTTCTAGCATTGAATGTAAGGCCACGATTTTTTGAACATGGACTGTGGTTTTCGAACTGTTTATGGCTCGGTTCCGTTAAATGAGTCAACAACCGCTGTGAACAAAAATTAGGAGGGTTACAATTAACTAATTAAAGACGGCTACGAGGACATTCTGACGTATTCTCTGCACGAATTGTTTTTGGTTATTCTATTGAACTTATTGAAATTTGGTCATTTAAAAAACGAACGTACAATTTCGATGTACGTCCCTCAACATAGTTTCTGATATCGTTTTTGGGTAGTTTTTAATCATTTTTTAATTTGTGTTTCCACATCTATAAATCTATTCACATGTTACGCGTGAAATCTATTCACATGTTACGCGTGTCATTAAACTGAGGTCAGTGCCCTGTAACCGTCAGCTATCCTCTTGAGTTGCTCGTGTCTATTTCTCTATAATATTCAATCGTGAAAAACTAATTTTTTTCTTTTTCGAGGAGGGGGAGGGGGTTGTGACTGGGTTCTTTCACTGCTCATGAACGCCAACTTACAAAAAAGTGTTGTATTTCGTTCCGAAAAAGATTTCAAATTCATTACAGTTTAAAAAAATTGGCTCAGAATTTTGTATTAATTGCAGAGCAACCCTCCGAGTTCAAAACATTTTTCTGTCTCGCTCAAAGTTTGTACTTTAATTCTTTAAAACACAATAAGGAGAACGTTTTTATTGCAAACAAACTTTTCAAAATATGGCAATTGAATTTTTAGTTTCCACAAAGTTTTTGCGAAACAAACTCACAAACTTCATAAGTTCCGCTTTCGTTTCAGGTATATCAACAATTCTCTTCAATTTAGAGTTCCTCCAATTAAAATCAACCACAAAGAATTTACAAATCTCCAAAATCAAATATTTTTCCTCCACCAATTTACACAACCTAGCTGGCGTTCCAACGCAAATATGAACTTCTTGGCGTTCCAATTCTTTGGCTTGGTCGTCAATCTTCATATGTGACGAAAACATCTTCGAAATATGAGCACAACTGTGCGTCTTTGATTTTTTCAACACATTGATCAGTTCAATACATCGCATTGCAGCAGAACATACTATCACCACTTGTGCCATTTTCGCTTTCGCCGGTCGCAATTTTGGTGTCCAATTTAGACCCACTTCCAAGAATTGTGAAATATTTTCAATACTTTCACGATTTGCAACATTTTTAAAATGAGTCTGCTGGTTTAGAACAAGCTCTTCGCGTTCAATACTCGACAATTTCTGTTGATCCAAAAAAGTGTCGTGAAATTTGAGAAAATCTCTCGAATCGGCGAAAGTGGTGCAGTTTACTATTGATTCATCCTCGGTAATTTTCCGCCGTTTGAAATTATGTTTTTTCTTCTTTTTCTTTTTCTTCACACCTTCAACAGTGTTTTCAATGACGTCATCGTTTTTGGTCATGCTGCTTGTCTGTTGAGTCTTTTCCTTTTTCACAGGCTGCTCATCAATTACAAACTCGATGTCCGCTTCATTGTTTTCATAGTAGTCGATTTGTGGCTCGAAGCCGAAACTATCCTCTAAACCATCTGCCATGATAACTGAAAGTTCAGTCAAATGAAAATTACTATTACTTAACGTCACCAAAAATGTCAAGTACTGAAATAAAAATCAAGAACCCGAAGAAAAACAAATTTTCCAAACAATGTTGAAAAAATGTTGAAAATTGAACATTTCCCAAAAAAAAACATGAAAAATTCCCTTCATTCCCTCACGAAGAAAATGATTCGGCGAGAAAGATCATTGAAACATCTCCGTTCGATTCATTTCATATCAGAATTGGCACAGATGTTTTGGCGAAATTCAACTGAATTCCAAAAAATGGGTCAAAATGTCAAACATTTCGCAAGCCCAAAGCTGACTCCTCGTCAAGAAGTTCTAAACCCAATTTTGCCTTTCTACAGAAATTAAGACACTCCCCACTTTCTTTTATGCATAGAAAACACCTCGTCGATTGAACTCTTTCTCTCAGATTTAGCAGGGCAGTTGTCAAGCAAAGTGAAAAAGTTGCCAAAATTGTTCAAAATTTCAAAAAATTGGTTATTTTCAAAAGCCATAACTTTCTTGCCACAAAAATTAGGGCGTAGCCGTTTAAGCAGGGCAGATTCGTACCAACTGTTTATCTATTGCGCCCTCAATCTCAGATTTGGCAGGTAGTTTTCGAAAAAAGTGAAGTTTACAAAAACATTCAAAACTTGGGCCTTTTCAAACTTTTTTCTACAGAAACCAGGACATAGAAGATAATGCAGGGGAAATTTCTAACAATTTCATTCGATTGATACCTTAATTTCAATTTTTGCAAGGTAGTTTTCGAAAAGATGGAAAACTCCAACAAAACTTTTGAAGGCCGTGGAGAGTGATGTAGAGGAACACACAGACGCTAATTGGAGCTTCGCACCACTTGCGATTAATCACAAACATAAAAAAAACATAAGAGGTCGAAAAAATGGAAAATGTTGAAAACAACTAGTTCTACCAAAAGTTAAATTTTCGTATGACTCGATAGAAGTTCGATCTAGGCTAAAATGGCAGAAATTTGAAAATTAAATTAGCAACAGAACAAAACTTACGAAGAGGAAATAAAGCCGGCAATCTGTGCGTAGACATACGTGGAGCAGAAAAAATATGATTTCATAAAAAAAAGATCTTTATAGTTTTAAGTCTCACTTGTGACTAGAGTGAACAACACTTGCACCTTCGGCTACAAAGGAAGTTGCGTATAGCACAAGCGAAGAAAAATCAGTGATGTGTCAACGAAGCCAACCATCTTTGAGCAGACACCTAATGAGCCGAAAAACAAAATGATTATCAAAAATCTAAAAAGTTTCAAGTCCACCTCCCTGAACCTACAAAAAAAATAACATTTGCAGGTGCATTAAAACTAGCTTGCCGGATAAACAAAATTTGTGATGTGGCAACTAAGCCGACAAAATTTTAGCAGAATAACGGAAGTCCAACGATTCAATTTTTACCGATTTTTTTTTTCATATACTGAAAAAACAAGGTCCGGCCGAGATTCAAACCCCAGACCTCAGTGTACATGGGCAACGGCGTTAACTCTAGGCCAAGTGGGAAGGAACCTGGATGTTGTGTAGGTTCAGTAAAAAAGCAAGCTGAAAGAAGTTGAAACCTGTAAGAAAAGTTGTTTCATGGAAACAGTATTGCTGCCAATTTCAAGACACTTGCTCACGCAAGAGTAATAATACCTGATTTTTTCGAACAGGAATATTTGCCCTCAAAACAACGCAATATAAGTTTATTATGCCATAAACTATAAGCTGAAACCATTTAATCGGAAAAAAAACTATTTAAAAAAATAAAATTATAAAAACTCAGACTTGGTAAAATAATAAATAACTAACTTTCAAGAATATTAAAAACATTTAAAATCACAATAAAATCCATGCTAAACAAAAAAAAACGAAAAAAAAACAGTACCAAATAAAACCAATATCAGTTTTAAAAAAATGGGAAACAAACCGACGGAAACTAGGCCGAAAAACACAAATCCGAAAAACAAACATTTATCACGAAAAATATTTGAAAACAAAGTAACACCGGAAACAAACTACACCCATTTACTACTTAATTGCAGATAGTGTATAAGATAGAGTATAAGATTGGGTATAGAGTCTACAATGTATTAAGACAGGGAATACCGATGGTAAGGTTTCAGTGTGATAGTAAGAGAAAGAAAAACGAAAATTTTGGTGCGAAAATGTCTAATTTTTTCGCAAAAATCTCGGCGCGCGTTACCCAATTGGGAACAATTAATTGTTAATTACGTGTAGATTGTAGAATTAAGGTTATGTATTTAGTTTTTTTTTGGTGGATGGTAAGTCAATGGTAAGAGTTTGTTTGGATAAGATTTTGTTTAATTTGATCTAATAAAAATTTATTAGATACTTTTACTTTCTATCTATCTGAATCTATTCTGAACCTACAGAGACATCGAAAAAAATTGAATTTTTTTGAGAGAAAAAAAATTAAATTACAAAAAAGTATATAAATCACTGCATTGTATAACAAGTTTACCGCAAAATTTTACATTTTAACATCATAAAACCAATATAATACAACATCATCAATAAATTTACTTGACCAGATCAGTTCTTATAAGTTCAGTGGTTTTGTATGAATTCCATCAACTTGTACTTGCCTTTTTGGATAAAAATAGCTTTGTCCTTTCTTTGTTTGTTCATATGTTGCCACCATATGATTTATAGTTCTGAATCCTCTATTTGTAGATGTTAAGTTGATTGCTTCATCGAGCAATCTCCTGTACTTTGGCATAGGTCCGTCTCCAGAATCTTCGAGAACTCGCTTGTTTAATCCTTTACTGCTAAATTTGAACTTATCGGACTTGTTGTCATAGCAGCAATATGTCTTGCTACAAACATAGCATTTCTGTACATCTGAATTCTTCTTTAAAAAGTCCCGGCTCCCGCTTATCATGCTTTTTATGCGTACTGCAACACGTTCGAGGGAAGAAATTCGATTTTGCATCCGCCTTGAAAGAGTCTCTGCAGTCATTTTTCCTCAATTTTTCCCAAGCAGCTCTCTTATCTGGTTTGATACAGTCGTATAAATTCTCTTCAGCAAGTGCCAAGTAAAGTGAGTCTCTGTCCATCTCCAACTCTTCAAATTTATTTACATCGCAGAATTTGTCAAAGTAGCTATAGTAGAGCTCCAACATTCTCAGTTTTGCATTCTGAAGTATGAAAAAACCAACAATGATGGGTTCTCGGTGCTCAATGGTTGATTTCAATAACTCCACCTCATATAAGTCCTTCTCAACTAAGTTAAGTCTCTTAAACAGTGGTTCATTGATTGCCTTATGGGTTTTTTCATCGTTCAGATATTTTGTGATTGTATGTCTCGATCTTTCTATGATCTGATATCCATACGAAGAATTACCCAAAAGTTTACATGATCTGAATTACCCTGACAAAGGGTTTTCATCTCCTTCTAGCATCAACCACTGTTTGAACAAAAATATTAAAGCATTTCCGAGGAGAAAATTGAATAAATCGGTAAATTTTGGTGCACTGCAATCCAAGTTCCATATAAAAGTTGAAGAGAGGAGTTATAACTATTCCATTTTCCAGCTTGAAACTAGATATCAGCATTCTCTCAGGATGCTTTAACATTTCGTTCTCGATCGCATAGTTTTTCATGTAATCTCTAAAATCATCTCTTCCGACCTAAGTATTTTTGAAAATTGGAGGAAAACTCGCAAATTTTGATTTTAGCTCATCTGGAACAACTAAGTCGCACTGAACGTAGCCAAAAAGAGATCCATCTTTTATTTTTGCTAGAAGTGAGTCTGTAGAAAGAGGTATTTTATAGGGAAAGTGGGTTCTGACGTGATTTTTGATCTTGTCATCGGTTTTGAAATTTTCCCACCAGTCACACTCCCACATTTCTTCCACTTTGTATCCTTTCTCTTTAATGTATTCTCGTCGATATCATCCATCTCTCTCTTCTTGTTTCCTCGCTCAATATCCTGTTCTGTTAAGGAGGGACGAGCTTCTTGACAGGAACAGAATTGGTAATAACATCCCATTGCTTCAAACACTGTCTTACAGTGATCACAATAACCATCCACATTAAAACAGTAGATTTTTTTCTGTTTTCCAGATGTAAAAAAGCTCTCAATTTTACATTCTGGTCTTGATTCTTGATAAAAAGACATGACCATATTCTCAAAGTTGCGAGTTCGATTATGTCTAGCCTTGAATTTCTGCATTTCAGTGCCAAACTCCCATCTTGTGTACAGTCCTGTTGGCATATCTTGACACATTGAGAAAGGGTAAAGGTGGCTTGCATCAATTCCAACGATTGATTTACAAACATTTGATGAGTTTCTGATGTATGTTTCATCAACTACAGCTTTTCGAGTGAAAACAATGGAAGGTCCACCCGTCATGTTTTCTCTTGTTTTTTCACACAAGTCTTTATCACTTTCGCAAAATGGATAAAACTTGTAATTTGTGGATTTGTGTAGACAAATGTTTGCTAGATTTGGAAGTGTGCAGCCAAGTTTTAACATATCTATCCTCGTGTTGTGATAAAACTGAATCATTTTTTGCATTGCCTTCAGGGTTGGAACTACATCTTTGTTGTTGTACCACTTCAAAAAGTCTTTGAACACTGTCATTCCATTTTTCTTCCAAGTCTCTTGTAAGTAATTGTAATTATCCAAACCAGATGGAGGAACAGTCTTGATTTGAAGCTTTTTCAGTGCCTGTTGTTCGTCAAACCCACTTTTTCTAAGCTTCTCATAATCAATGAAGTCTTTGTCTAGAGGATTGTTGTTTCTAAGTTTACTGAAAAAGGCTTCATACGGTGGCAATTCAGGAAAGTCAAGTTTGTCTGGGTTATCAAACCACTCATAGGGAAAGAATCCTTTCGTTTCGCTAGTTTTATAGGCTTTGAGAAAGGAGTCCAAAGTAGGAGTCATCGCGAATTAAATAAGGAATTAAGTATGATTTGATCAAACTCAAATCATATCTACCGCTGTTAAATCCAAAAAC